GTGGTGAAACTACTTGTATGACTGTTGGTTTATTTGGAATGAAATGTGCCAGTGTTGCATCTGTGCACAAAATATTCTTAATGCTCGTTCGAATGCCTTCTCGTTGGTTGGTGACCATGTAAAGTCTACACCGTTTTGCGGAGGCTTCTAAGAGGTGTAGTTTCATCTGCCGGGTTTGGGATAAATGGTGACCATTCCCAAAAACTGTTGCAGCTCTATGATATTTGTTGGACTCAGCAGTGCTGCAATTGCTGATTCCCTGTCTGGATCTGGGTGACAGCCTCCCTTGTCATAAACAGTGTTCAAAGAATTTCACTTGTTCCTGCTTGGCCATGCACTCTGCACTATTGAAAGTTAATCCTTGCTGCCTGGCTATCTTGAAGAGGTTATGCAGATTTATTTCCTGCTCCTCTTCAGTTTTTCCAAACATTACTGCATCATCAGCAATGCCAATGGTACCAGGACAGTTTTCAAGGATCTGATCCCTTTTTTGCTGGAAAACATCTTGTGACAAAGGCATTCTGAGGTATCTGTAGCGGCCAAAAGGAGTGTTGAATGTTGTGAGGAATGAACTGGTTTCATCAAGCTTGACTGACCAATAGCCATTCTGAGATATCTGTAGCATTTCCTCTTGTGTAGGCATCTTGTGATGGCTTCAATTTATAGCTTTGTTCAAGTCTTTAGTGACTAAGCACCTGTAGAGCCATCTATATGTAAAGACAATACATAAACTTCTTATTACAGTGGGCATGGCATTGTAGTCTTGCCACCCACTGACATTGGGTTAAGTTATAATTGACTATTTTGGCCCTCTGTATTGTCTCTGAATGGTTGCTTCAAAAGATCAATCGCTTTGCTCAACCGTATGTCTTCACCTTCCATAATAAGGCTTCTTTGCAAAACATTACTATAGATTCCATCCATGAATTGCTCAGTGACTCTTGGTTTGTGTTTTGTCTCAGTAAATTTACATCTCTCAGCTTGAGCTTCACATCTGTTTAAGAACACATCACTAGATTAATTTTCTCCCTGAATGAATCAGGGAGAATAGTCTGAAGTTTTAGCTGAGTCAGAAGAGCATCTGAAATTTTTTCATATCTTCTTTAGTCAAATTGCTTGTCTCTACCATTTCCTGTCTCAGAGTATCTGCGTACAGAATGATATGGTTTGCCTGATCCTCTCTTGGTATCTTCTTAACTTTGAAGTATATGATACAGCATTTTTTGAAAGTCATAAGTGCACCATAAGAATCGCTAGTTTTCCATTTCATACTTGGCGAGTGATGGCATTGTTCTGCGCCAGCCATTTTCATGGCTGCTGACATGGCAGTGCAAGGATTAAGACGGTTACGGTGCACCAAAATTGGGCTGGGTTGGGGACACAGGAACTATGAAGCAAACAGTAGATTACTTTCACATGCTTCTTATGTACTTCAGTCTTATTTGTCTTGATTTCTTCACCAAGAGTGAATCTTTAGTGATTTAGGTGCAAGGTGGCACTAGACCCTTTGCTGGTTGGTCGCTTACCTCTTGTATTTTAATGTCCATATTTTGGTATCTCCAGATTGTTATTACCTCTTTCCCCTCTGTGTCTATGTTCTGAAATGGAGAACAGCTGCTTCATGTTTTATGTTTTCCACTTGAGAGGAAAGGGTGAATAAAATACGGGCTCTGCTGAGTTACACAAGTATTTTCTGGAGGAGTGTACAGCACTAATGTCTACATAAGGGTTATGCACACATGCAATATATATAGGGAAATGTTACTAGTGCTATAATATAAAGTAAATAAAACAAATAATTAGAAATAAGATAATTATGGTTGATCATATGAGAATGGGTTTGGTGTTCTTGTGGATGTGTGGTCATTTAAAGAAATTCCCCAATCCATCCTTCTTTTTCTTTCTTATTTTGGGCTAATTGACAGCCTTTTTCCTTACAATAAACAGGTATGTTTACATCTTTTTGCTCTTGCAGATTTGAGGTTAATCCAAAATGTGATGCTGATTTAGAGGCAGCTGGAATGAAGTCTGTGGGCTGTGATGTCAATGGCGAAAGGATGGAAATTTTGGAGTTGGCAGATCACCCTTACTATGTGACTTGTCAGTCCCATCCAGAGTACCTCACAAGGTAAGTTAGTGCATACTAATCCTTTGGGATGTCTGAATTGAATTTTCTCCTTACAGTTGTTTGCAAGAGTGATTTGGGCTGTTCTTCGATATTGATGCCATTAATTTCTCCTTTTGATTTTAGTAGCAATCTTAGTGTACTTAAATGGCTCAAGATTTAATTCGGAAGTGGTTACGTAAAATTGAAGAAATTTGTGAATATGGTAACTGGTTATAGAGCACTTTATACTCTTAACCTGTAGCCTCCGGGTTTAAGAAAATTTTAAAAAACTCTATGCCGATTTTGACTTCGCCACATCAAGCCAAACACCTAGCTCATCACGCTTTGGCACATCGCTGCTGGCGTACAGTGGCACTCACGAATTGAGTGATTTGTTATGAGGCTGCAAGGTGAGACCTGGCAGAATTGGGTTAATTATTTATTGTTTGCTGAAGTTTGAATGCTTTTCCAGGCCGTTGAAGCCATCCCCTCCATACCTTGGTCTAATCCTAGCATCTAGTGGCAAGTTGGAGCAGTATTTGTCCCGTGGATGTCGAATGAGCCCCACCGATTCTCCTGAGTCCTCTGGTGTGTGTCTGGCTGCATTGAGGAAGGTTATTTAGGCTCAACTTCCTTTCTGTGAATGGTTTTGCTATTATTATTTCTTTAGTGAAATTCTATGGATAGTTTAGAACGCATCTGTTAACATTATTAATGTTAGTTAAAAAAAATATATATATTTCTCACTCTTATAGTTAAGACTTTGGAAAGCTAATTCAAGCAGTGTGATAACTGTCAAACAGGCCTTAACCTAGCAACACAAAACTGAACCAGTCTGACAATTAACTTTCTGGCTTGCCTCAGTGACAGATGAGGAGCTGCCCATGCCTCCCCACCTGCTGGCACACCAAGCAGACAAGCCCAGCATGCCACCTGCTTCTCGCGCCACTCCTCCCCGCTCTCAGAGAAGCGCTTGCATCGGCCCTCAACAGCCCTCCTCCTCCTCCCCCACTCTCAGAGAAGCGCTTGCATGGGCCCTCAACAGCCCCCTCCTCCCCGGCAGAGGAGAGGAATCTCGAAGGAAGTTAGAAGAACCTATAATGGCTGGTCCAGGCTATTGATGGGCCACAAAGGAGATATTTTCAGATGTTCTTTATCATTTGTTTTTGTTTGCTTTTTAATTTTTTCCTATATTATGATATACCCGGTGTATATGAAAAGTGGAGTGATAGTCCACTTTCATTACAGTTTTCATTTAGGGTTGAGCGTATCTCATTGTTTTACATTAGTAAAGAAACACAGAGTTGTATAAAAAAAACAACTGAGTGTCAATTTTTGATGCAGAGGAAGGACAGAGTTATGCATATCAATTTTTTTTTTTTTTTTTTCTTTTTTTTTTCAGTGAGAAGATATTATAGCATTTTCATTTTTATATCAGATAGCATTTAGTCTTAGATTTATCTGGTTTGATTAAATCAGATGTTGATAGGTTTGGATGAATATATAATTGTTATTATTTAGTTCCATTAATATCCCCAAGACCCTAGTGTTTGAAAGTCTTTGTCTGATCAGCAAGACCCATCTACCTGTGATGATCTCCATGGATCTGGGTCTAGAAGATTCAAATAAAAAATGGAGTGCATTTTCATGTTTGTTTCATTTCAAGTTAAATATAATAAGAAAAAAATAGCATGGAAGAATTTAAACCTAAATCATGTAGTATGTACAGCGTACTCTAGTTCTTTTAAACCAAGAATCCTCTGGTTTGATTTTTAGTTGTCTTACCTTCTGATATAGCCTGTTTTCTTAATTTCATATTTGCCAGATTGTTTTATAAGTTGTTTTGTTGCTCCACTTGAGGGGAAAAGGTGAATGAAATACGGGGCTCTGCTGAGCTACACAAGTATATTCTGGAGGAGCGTACAGCACTAATGTCTACATAAGGGTTACGCACACATGCAATATATATAGAGGGATATGTTACTAGTGTTATAATATAAAGTAAATAAAACAAATAATTAGAAAGAGGATAATTATGGCAGATCATATGACACAGATCTTGTTTTTTTTCTTTTAGTGAGGTCAGCTTCCACTATTTTCCTTTTCATATTACAAATAAGTCCTCTCCTTTGAGGGTTAGGAGATGCCCAGACATTTTGTAAATTCATTACTCTCCATCAGCCATCTATATATATATATCTATATATATATATATATATATATATATATATATATATATATATATATATATATATATATATATATATATATATATATATATATATATATATATATATATATATATATATATATATATATATATATATATATATATATATATATATATATATATATGGCTGATGGAGAGTAATGAATTTACAAAATGTCTGGGCATCTCCTAACCCTCAAAGGAGAGGACTTATTTGTAATATGAAAAAGGAAAATAGTGGAAGCTGACCTCACTAAAAGAAAAAAAACAAGATCTGTGTCATATGATCTGCCATAATTATCCTCTTTCTAATTATTTGTTTTATTTACTTTATATTATAACACTAGTAACATATCCCTCTATATATATTGCATGTGTGCGTAACCCTTATGTAGACATTAGTGCTGTACACTCCTCCAGAATATACTTGTGTAGCTCAGCAGAGCCCCGTATTTCATTCACCCTTTCCCCTCAAGTGGAGCAACAAAACAACATATAAAACAATCTGGCAAATATGAAATTAAGAAAACAGGCTATATCAGAGGGTAAGACAACTAAAAATCAAACCAGAGGATTCTTGGTTTAAAAGAACTAGAGTACGCTGTACATACTACATGATTTAGGTTTAAATTCTTCCATGCTATTTTTTTCTTATTATATTTAACTTGAAATGAAACAAACATGAAAATGCACTCCATTTTTTATTTGAATCTTCTAGACCCAGATCCATGGAGATCATCACAGGTAGATGGGTCTTGCTGATCAGACAAAGACTTTCAAACACTAGGGTCTTGGGGATATTAATGGAACTAAATAATAACAATTATATATTCATCCAAACCTATCAACATCTGATTTAATCAAACCAGATAAATCTAAGACTAAATGCTATCTGATATAAAAATGAAAATGCTATAATATCTTCTCACTGAAAAAAAAAGAAAAAAAAAAAAAAAATTGATATGCATAACTCTGTCCTTCCTCTGCATCAAAAATTGACACTCAGTTTTTTTTTTTATACAACTCTGTGTTTCTTTACTAATGTAAAACAATGAGATACGCTCAACCCTAAATGAAAACTGTAATGAAAGTGGACTATCACTCCACTTTTCATATACACCGGGTATATCATAATATAGGAAAAAATTAAAAAGCAAACAAAAACAAATGATAAAGAACATCTGAAAATATCTCCTTTGTGGCCCATCAAATAGCCTGGACCAGCCATTATAGGTTCTTCTAACTTCCTTCGAGATTCCTCTCCTCTGCCGGGGAGGAGGGGCTGTTGAGGGCCCATGCAAGCGCTTCTCTGAGAGTGGGGGAGGAGGAGGAGGGGCTGTTGAGGGCCGATGCAAGCGCTTCTCTGAGAGCGGGGGAGGAGTGGCGCGAGAAGCAGGTGGCATGCTGGGCTTGTCTGCTTGGTGTGCCAGCAGGTGGGGAGGCATGGGCAGCTCCTCATCTGTCACTGAGGCAAGCCAGAAAGTTAATTGTCAGACTGGCTCAGTTTTGTGTTGCTAGGTTAAGGCCTCTTTGACAGTTATCACACTGCTTGAATTAGCTTTCCAAAGTCTTAACTATAAGAGTGAGAAATATATATATTTTTTTTAACTAACATTAATAATGTTAACAGATGCGTTCTAAACTATCCATAGAATTTCACTAAAGAAATAATAATAGCAAAACCATTCACAGAAAGGAAGTTGAGCCTAAATAACCTTCCTCAATGCAGCCAGACACACACCAGAGGACTCAGGAGAATCGGTGGGGCTCATTCGACATCCACGGGACAAATACTGCTCCAACTTGCCACTAGATGCTAAGATTAGACCAAGGTATGGAGGGGATGGCTTCAACGGCCTGGAAAAGCATTCAAACGTCAGCAAACAATAATTAATTAACCCAATTCTGCCTGGTCACACCTTGCAGCCTCATAACAAATCACTCGATTCGTGGAGTGCCACTGTACGCCGCAGCGATGTGCCAAAGTGTGATGAGCTAGGTGTTTGGCTTGATGTGGCGAAGTCAAAATCGGCATAGAGTTTTTTAAAATTTTCTTAAACCCGGAGGCTACAGGTTAAGAGTATAAAGTGCTCTATACCAGTTACCATATTCACAAATTTCTTCAATTTTACGTAACCACTTCCGAATTAAATCTTGAGCCATTTAAGTACACTAAGATTGCTACTAAAATCAAAAGGAGAAATTAATGGCATCAATATCGAAGAACAGCCCAAATCACTCTTGCAAACAACTGTAAGGAGAAAATTCAATTCAGACATCCCAAAGGATTAGTATGCACTAACTTACCTTGTGAGGTACTCTGGATGGGACTGACAAGTCACATAGTAAGGGTGATCTGCCAACTCCAAAATTTCCATCCTTTCGCCATTGACATCACAGCCCACAGACTTCATTCCAGCTGCCTCTAAATCAGCATCACATTTTGGATTAACCTCAAATCTGCAAGAGCAAAAAGATGTAAACATACCTGTTTATTGTAAGGAAAAAGGCTGTCAATTAGCCCAAAATAAGAAAGAAAAAGAAGGATGGATTTGGGGAATTTCTTTAAATGACCACACATCCACAAGAACACCAAACCCATTCTCATATGATCAACCATAATTATCTTATTTCTAATTATTTGTTTTATTTACTTTATATTATAGCACTAGTAACATTTCCCTCTATATATATTGCATGTGTGCATAACCCTTGTGTAGACATTAGTGCTGTACACTCCTCCAGAAAATACTTGTGTAACTCAGCAGAGCCCGTATTTTATTCACCCTTTCCCCTCAAGTGGAAAACATAAAACATGAAGCAGCTGTTCTCCATTTCAGAACATAGACACAGAGGGGAAAGAGGTAATAACAATCTGGAGATACCAAAATATGGACATTAAAATACAAGAGGTAAGCGACCAACCAGCAAAGGGTCTAGTGCCACCTTGCACCTAAATCACTAAAGATTCACTCTTGGTGAAGAAATCAAGACAAATAAGACTGAAGTACATAAGAAGCATGTGAAAGTAATCTACTGTTTGCTTCATAGTTCCTGTGTCCCCAACCCAGCCCAATTTTGGTGCACCGTAACCGTCTTAATCCTTGCACTGCCATGTCAGCAGCCATGAAAATGGCTGGCGCAGAACAATGCCATCACTCGCCAAGTATGAAATGGAAAACTAGCGATTCTTATGGTGCACTTATGACTTTCAAAAAATGCTGTATCATATACTTCAAAGTTAAGAAGATACCAAGAGAGGATCAGGCAAACCATATCATTCTGTACGCAGATACTCTGAGACAGGAAATGGTAGAGACAAGCAATTTGACTAAAGAAGATATGAAAAAATTTCAGATGCTCTTCTGACTCAGCTAAAACTTCAGACTATTCTCCCTGATTCATTCAGGGAGAAAATTAATCTAGTGATGTGTTCTTAAACAGATGTGAAGCTCAAGCTGAGAGATGTAAATTTACTGAGACAAAACACAAACCAAGAGTCACTGAGCAATTCATGGATGGAATCTATAGTAATGTTTTGCAAAGAAGCCTTATTATGGAAGGTGAAGACATACGGTTGAGCAAAGCGATTGATCTTTTGAAGCAACCATTCAGAGACAATACAGAGGGCCAAATAGTCAATTATAACTTAACCCAATGTCAGTGGGTGGCAAGACTACAATGCCATGCCCACTGTAATAAGAAGTTTATGTATTGTCTTTACATATAGATGGCTCTACAGGTGCTTAGTCACTAAAGACTTGAACAAAGCTATAAATTGAAGCCATCACAAGATGCCTACACAAGAGGAAATGCTACAGATATCTCAGAATGGCTATTGGTCAGTCAAGCTTGATGAAACCAGTTCATTCCTCACAACATTCAACACTCCTTTTGGCCGCTACAGATACCTCAGAATGCCTTTGTCACAAGATGTTTTCCAGCAAAAAAGGGATCAGATCCTTGAAAACTGTCCTGGTACCATTGGCATTGCTGATGATGCAGTAATGTTTGGAAAAACTGAAGAGGAGCAGGAAATAAATCTGCATAACCTCTTCAAGATAGCCAGGCAGCAAGGATTAACTTTCAATAGTGCAGAGTGCATGGCCAAGCAGGAACAAGTGAAATTCTTTGAACACTGTTTACGACAAGGGAGGCTGTCACCCAGATCCAGACAGGGAATCAGCAATTGCAGCACTGCTGAGTCCAACAAATATCATAGAGCTGCAACAGTTTTTGGGAATGGTCACCATTTATCCCAAACCCGGCAGATGAAACTACACCTCTTAGAAGCCTCCGCAAAACGGTGTAGACTCTACATGGTCACCAACCAACGAGAAGGCATTCGAACGAGCATTAAGAATATTTTGTGCACAGATGCAACACTGGCACATTTCATTCCAAATAAACCAACAGTCATACAAGTAGTTTCACCACAAAAGGGTACTGGTGCTGCAATAATGCAAGATGACAAGCCTATCGTCTATGCATCCTAGTCTCTGTCTGAAAGAGAGCAATGCTATGCCATTACTGAAAGGGAACTACATGCAGTGGTGTTTGGATGTGAAAGATTTTGCACTTAAGTATAAGGCAAAGCATTCCATGTGGAGAGTGACCACAAACTGCAAGAAATTATTCAGCTAAAGAACCTGACAGCTGCACCGCCCAGACTCCAGAGTATGCTGATGAGGCTGCAGCACTACGTCACAATCCTATACAAGCCGGGAAAAGATCTCCTATAGCAGATGGTCTGTCACGCTTGCCATCAATGGACAACTAACATATTGGTCTAGACCTACAAATCAACTTTGTTACATTCAGCAACAAGAAACTAGACAAACTTCGACAGGAAAGAGACAGCACCCTACACAGACTTCAACAAGTCATTATCCAAGAATGGCCAGAGAAGATGAAAGATCTACCGAGAATATTACAACCATACTGGTCCTTCAGAGACAAGTTATCTATCGACGATAGGCTAGTGATAAAAGGCAGCAGAGTCATAATCCCAGAAAAGCCAATTTCGAGCCAAAGACTGTGTATACTGGACTTCAATCAACAAGGATGCTGAAAGCAGAGTCCAGCCGTGTTCCCTATGCCAAAAAACGTCAAGGTCACAAAAAAAGGAAGCCCTCACCCCGCATGAACTTCCTACACAACTATGGCAATATGCTGGAAGAAATCTTTTCCATTATGGAGAAAATGACTATCTGATTATAGCTGATTACTACTCAAAGTTTCCAGTTATCAGGAAAATGCCCATGCATGTCACAAGCATGGCTGTGATCAAGGCATTGAAGAACTTGTTTTCTGAGTAAGGAGTTCCCAAAAGAGTATAGAACAATATATAGAGCAACAAAAAAACAAAACATCCATACAAAAGTATCTATCAAGCCTCCAGTACAACATACCTGTGTCGGTGCCTCTCCTCAACAAAGTCCACATTGCCATTGACACAGCTTTGAGTCATGTGATTTGAACACAGTCTGCCTTTAGCCCAGTCTCATGGTGCCCCCAAGCTGGCCTGGGTTGTGCTCTGGCATCTCCACAATCACATTCCTCAGGAAACATCTCCTGGCTGTTGGCATCTGTCCAGCCCAGTACATTTCTGTGAAATGTACTGGCTAAGGTTTTACTTCAAGGAAGGAACCATGTTAAGAGGCAAACAAACTTGAGAATTTTCATTATGAAAGTACTGAATCAAAAGTCTTGCATTCTGAGAATGGGAAGGCTTACCTTGAGTACTCAATTACTGCAGCTTGTAAGCCTAGGCATATGCCCGACAGTGGCTTCTCCTTTGTCTTGGCCCATTTGCACACAGAAACCTTTCCTTCCATTCCACAGTGACTAAAGCCTCCGGGAACAATAATACCACTGAAAAAAAAAAAATTAAGTCTAGTGTGGAATAATATCACTGAAAAAAATAAATTTCTTGAATTCTAGTATGGTATTATCATATAATATCAATGTATCTGTATTAAGAAAAAGAAAAAAAAATAATCACAAGATCTTTAACCCATTCTATACACCTCTTTTGGCATCATGAAGTACCACTGAAATATACTGTGATGTCAATATTGGCATCAATTTAATCTTATTTTAGCTGCTGCTGAGTAATCCCCATATTCTATTCTGGTTCTATTATTTAGACTCCATATATTACCCTAGAAATTCTATAGCTCCACATAGCTAGACTATGCCCCACCCTCTAGCCAAAATGAGGACCTATCATTAGCAGAGTCTATGTCACAATTTCCCCCTCTGTGGTTCTTCTGTTGTCCTCCATATCCCATTATCCTTTACTTCTCCCCTTACTCAGAGAAAGAGAGAATTTACCTTTGTGTACCATGAAATGAACTTGAGGCTTCATCAAATCTTTCTTTCAACTTGGTGTGTGTGTGTACTGTCTTAGACAAGATACTCTCAGGACAATGCATTCAAAGTTGCCACTCGCAGGCAAGTGCCCCTTACACTAGCACTGCGCATCTTTTAAACCATCCAGAGCAAACCCATTAAAATGCATCATTTACTTATCCTAAACCCAAGAAATGTCCACAACTTATTCTTATGTGTGTCTAAAATTCATATACCGATAGTGAAATCAAATGGAAATTTCTATCACTGAGCATTAGCATACATATGAGGCCAAAATCATAAATCTTATTGGAATTTATGTTCAAACATTTCACTCAAGCATCAAGTAACTTTGCCTTAAGAATATGAAAGCAAAGAACAAAAAAGGAAAAACAAAGTAGAAAACACATCCCACGTCACTTTACTCACTCTGCCTTGCACACATTCTTCCATGCTTCATAACACTTCACAGGCTGCTTTGCCTTTGCATCCTCCTCTAGATCCTGAGCCTCCAAGCACTTCAAATCCAGTTTGCGGTTGCATGCAAGGGCGGCATGCTGCAGGGCCTTGATCATTGAGGTGTATGAGTCCTCTAGGTCTGTATGATTTCCAACCAGCACAATGGAGACACTGTACTGCAGATGCTCATGCCTGCCAGAGGAGGAAATGGAGAAAATGTTAATAAGAGGTAGACCTAGGAGAAAAAAAAGAAACTAAAAGAGAAGAGAGGGGTTATTAATTCAGATGGAATTTAATATATATATATATATATATATATATATATATATATATATATATATATATATATATATACATATACATATACATATACATATATATATATACATATATATATATATATATATATATATATATATACATATACATATACATATACATATATATATATATATACATATATATATATATATATATATATATATACATATATATATACATATATATATATATATATACATATATATATATATATATATATACATATATATATATATATATATATATACATATATATATATATATATATATACATATATATATATATATATACATATATATATATATATATATACATATATATATATATATATATATACATATATATATATATATATATACATATATATATATATATATATATATATATATATATATACATATATATATATATATACTATATATATATATATATATATATATATATATATATATATATATATATATATATATATATATATATATATATATATATATATATATATAAATATATATATGTGTGTGTGTGTACACAAAAATAACAGAAAAAAGTATTAAATTAAAATCAACTCACTTAGTTGAAAGCTCATGCCATTTCTGCATGAAATCGTCTTGAAGCCAAGACGATTGCTGAGGAGGGGCAACACCTGTTGCTCCTCCAACATCACAGGTACTGCATAAGTGCTTGAGGCATCATGCAGACAAATAACCTGCACGGAAAATTAAAATCAATATTGGTTTTGCTTTAATTTTTCTGTAACTGGAATATGGAGAAGGATAGAAAGACAGATGGAAAGAGAATCTGTCTCTTCTATTTACAAAAAAAGGATCAATGAAACAACTAATAGCTCCTTTTCTCTTTTTTTATATGTGAGAATCAGAATGCAAATAAATTCATATGTCAGTACTATAACATAGAAAAAAGAGAAGAAAAAAAAACATTTGTGCAATTATCCCTAACAGCAAAATGCAATGATCATTAATAAAAATTATCTTCACCTGCTCTGGAGACACGAGAGAAGTTGGATATCTTATGGTTGACGAACTGGTTTACGGGCTTCTTTGTCAGGAGACAACCCCAATCCACGCAACTCCCTCACACTGGCTCGAGTTGGTTTGGGGTACCAGGGACACAAGAACCAAGATGCATACAGCTATTAGAAATAATAAGTTCAGATTCATGAATAAGCACCTAGAGGACCTAACCCACTAAGTTTGCTAATACAAGTTTGTTAGGCTCAAGAAGCCATCTTTGAGGTTATAGGGTTTCTAGTTCAGTGATTTAGTCATTGTTCACCATGCCTCCCCATTCCTTTGAGCATTCAAAAGAAAATAAATAAAAAAAAGTCTGCCAACTTTGGAATCCTGTATCTCTATATGAAGGTAAATTGCATGAAACTTATTAAATTTGAAGAATGTAGTCAAATCAACACAAACCATCAAGGCAATTTTGATGACTGAGCTCAAGCTAAAACCTTGGTCATCAGGTACATATTTACAATTAAGAGTAACAAGATAGTTATAACTATAAATTAAGTTCTATGCTACTTTGCTCTTGAACCGAGATTAAAAATATATAAACAAATAATTAAGTGGGAAGAAAATGTCTGTCTCTATCTTTGCCCTACACATGAAAGCTAAATCAATTATAATATTGCAAAATGTGAAAGATACTCTGACACTGGTGAACTGTATCCTTGACACATTCTGATTAGCAATATTTCAAAGAAAGGTGGGAGAGTTGCCAGCAGAGAACAAAAATTAAGAAAAAGGCAACCAGATACAAATTGGAGTGACAAATGGTCTCCCTCTTACCTTCACTCTAAACTGTCACTGCCTGAAGGCCTCAGCAAAGGGCATGCCCTCACTGTCTCCAACTGTCCCAACACAGTGATACAGACCTCGGGATCTGCATGGTCGTCATCCACTGGCCGATGCGCCACTGTCTCAATCCATTCCTGAATTGCATCTGTGATGTGTGGCACCACCTGAAAGGTAGCAATGTCAGCTTATATAATGAAGAGATTTTTCAACAAATTTTCTTATGCCTTATAGCAAGTTGTGTTAACATTTTCAATTATACATCTACCTGTTTATTTGTCTGTTTCTAAGCATGCGAACACATGATCCTGGTTAAAAAGACTCAAATTAAACAAAAAGATACATGTGAAAATCTAAAAATCATTAAAACCAACTGATGACCTATAATACATGAAACAAAATAAAAGAAAAAAAGAGGGAAAAAAATAAATAAATGAAAAAAGAAGAAGGAAGGAGAAATATAATTCAAATGCACATTTCAGCAACACAAAACAACCACTTACAAGACAAGGACATGCTTCCCTGTTCTTCCAGTCATTTCCTAAAGCCATTCCCTACCTGAATGGTCTTCCTGAGGTAGTCCCCACACCTCTCTCTGTTCATGACAGACTGGTAAATCTTCCCAGTTGTTATGTTGTTACCACTGTGGAGTGTGACACCAAGGAACTGCTCAAAATTACCCAGGTCGAGGTCCCCCTCACCACCGTCAACCAGCACAAACACCTCGCCTGAGGATAGGAATATTCAGTTTGATGAAAGATATGGACAATAGCACTTTTCTTTATAAAGATCTGGATTATGCAACCCTTGGCTT